CAAACACACCCTGTCCTCCTACACTACCACATCCTTTACTACTCCTCAACAAACACACTTTGTACTCCTTCACTACTACATCCTGTACTCCGCCACAAACACATCCTGTCCTCTCAACAAACACATCCTGTACTCCTACACTACCACATCCTTTACTCCTCCACAAACACATCCTCTCCTCCTCCAGAAACACACCCTGTACTCCTACACTACCACATCCTGTACTCCTACACTACCACACCCTTTACGCCTTCACTACGACTTCCTCTACTCCTACACTACCACATCTTGTACTCCTCCACAAACACACCCTGTACTCCTACACTACTACATCCTGTCCTCCTCTACAAACACACCCTGTCCTCCTACACTACCACATCCTGTACTCCGCCACAAACACATCCTGTCCTCTCAATAAACACATCCTATTCTCCTACACTGCCACATCCCGTCCTCCTCCACAAACACACCCTGTCCTCTTCCACAAACACATCCTCTACTCCTCCACAAACACATCTTGTCTTCCTACACTACCACATTCTGTACTCCTACAATACCACACCCTTTACTCCTACACTACCACATCCTGTACTCCTACACTACCACACCCTGTCCTTCCCCACAAACACATCCTGTCCACCTCTACAAACACACCCTGTCCTCTTCCACAAACACATCCTGTACTCCTCAACAAACACATCCTGTCTTCCTACACTACCACATCCTGTACTCCTACACTACCACACCCTTTACTCCTACACTACCACATCCTGTACTCCTACACTACCACACCCTGTCCTCCTCCACAAACACACCCTGTCCTCCTACATTACCACATCCTTTACTACTCCTCAACAAACACACTTTGTACTCCTACACTACCACATCCTCTCCTCCGCCACAAACACATCCTGTACTCCTCCACAAACACACCCTGTACTCCTACACTACTACATCCTGTATTCCTACACTACCGCACCCTGTCCTCCTTCACAAACACATTTTGTCCTCCTCAACAAACACATCCTGTACTCCTACACTACCACATCCTGTACTCCTACACTACCACACCCTTTACTCCTTCACTACGACTTCTTGTACTCCTACACTACCACATCTTGTACTCCACCACAAACACACCCTGTCCTCCTACACTACTACATCCTGTCCTCCTCCACAAACACACCCTGTCCTCCTACACTACTACATCCTGTCCTCCTCCACAAACACACCCTGTCCTCCTACACTACCACATCCTTTACTACTCCTCAACAAACACACTTTGTACTCCTACACTACCACATCCTCTCCTCCGCCACAAACACATCCTGTACTCCTACACTACTACATCCTGTACTCCTACACTACCGCCCCCTGTACTCCTACACTACTACATCCTGCACTCCTACGCTACCGCACCCTGTACTCCTACACTACCACATCTTGTACTCCTCAATAAACACACCCTGTCCTCCTCAACAAACACATCCTGTACTCCTACCCTACCACATCCTGTACTCCTACACTACCACACCCTTTACGCCTTCACTACGACTTCCTGTACTCCTACACTACCACATCTTGTACTCCTCCACAAACACACCCTGTACTCCTACACTACTACATCCTGTCCTCCTACACTACCACATCCTGTACTTCGCCACAAACACATCCTGTCCTCTCAATAAACACATCCTATTCTCCTACACTGCCACATCCCGTCCTCCTCCACAAACACACCCTGTCCTCTTCCACAAACACATCCTCTACTCCTCCACAAACACATCCTGTCTTCCTACAATACCACACCCTTTACTCCTACACTACCACATCCTGTACTCCTACACTACCACACCCTGTCCTTCCCCACAAACACATCCTGTCCACCTCTACAAACACACCCTGTCCTCTTCCACAAACACATCCTGTACTCCTCAACAAACACATCCTGTCTTCCTACACTACCACATCCAGTACTCCTACACTACCACACCCTTTACTCCTACACTACCACATCCTGTACTCCTACACTACCACACCCTGTCCTCCTCCACAAACACATCCTGTACTCCTCAACAAACACATCCTCTCTTCCTACACTACCACATCCTGTACTCCTACACTACCACACCCTTTACTCCTACACTACCACATCCTGTACTCCTACACTACCACACCCTGTCCTCCTCCACAAAGACACCCTGTCCTCTCAACAAACACATCCTGTACTCCTACACTACCACATCCTATGCTCCTACACTACCACACGCTGTCCTCCTTCACAACCACTTCCTTTACTCCTACACTACCACATCCTGAACACCTCCACTACCACATCATGTCACCTCTGTACTACCACATCCTGTACTCCTACACTACCACACCCTGTCCTCCTCCACAAACTCATCCTGTCCTCCTCAACAAACACATCCTGTACTCATACACAAACACACCCTGTATCTCCTACACAAACACATCCTCTACTCCTACACTACCACACCCTTTACTCCTACACTAACACATCCTGTACTCCTACACTACCACATCCTGTACTCCTACACTACCAATTATTGTACTCCTACACTACCAAATCCTGTACTCCTACACTACCATATCCTGTACTCCTACACTACCAAATCCAGTACTCCTACACTACCAAATCCTGTACTCCTACACTACCAAATCCTGTACTCCTACACTACCAAATTCTGTACTCCTACACTACCAATTATTGTACTCCTACACTACCACATCCTGTGCTCCTACACTACCACATGCTGTCCTCCTCCACAAACACTTCCTTTACTCCTAAAGTACCACATCCTGTACTCCTACACTACCACATCCTGTACTCCTACACAAAACACATCCTTTATTCCTACACTTCTACATCCTGTCCTCCTCAACAAACACACCCTATACTCCTTCACAACCACTTCCTGTACTCCTACACTACCACATCCTCAACACCTCCACTACCACATCATGTCACCTCTGTACTACCACATCCTGTACTCCTACACTACCACACCCTGTCCTCCTCCACAAACTCATCCTGTCCTCCTCAACAAACACATCCTGTACTTATACACAAACACACCCTGTATCACCTACACAAACACATCCTCTACTCCTACACTACCACACCCTTTACTCCTACACCAACACATCCTGTACTCCTCCACAAACTCATCCTGTCCTCCTCAACAAACACATCCTGTACTCATACACAAACACACCCTGTATCTCCTACACAAACACATCCTCTACTCCTACACTACCACACCCTTTACTCCTACACTAACACATCCTGTACTCCTACACTACCACATCCTGTACTCCTACACTACCAATTATTGTACTCCTACACTACCAAATCCTGTACTCCTACACTACCATATCCTGTACTCCTACACTACCAAATCCAGTACTCCTACACTACCAAATCCTGTACTCCTACACTACCAAATCCTGTACTCCTACACTACCAAATTCTGTACTCCTACACTACCAATTATTGTACTCCTACACTACCACATCCTGTGCTCCTACACTACCACATGCTGTCCTCCTCCACAAACACTTCCTTTACTCCTAAAGTACCACATCCTGTACTCCTACACTACCACATCCTGTACTCCTACACAAAACACATCCTTTATTCCTACACTTCTACATCCTGTCCTCCTCAACAAACACACCCTATACTCCTTCACAACCACTTCCTGTACTCCTACACTACCACATCCTGAACACCTCCACTACCACATCATGTCACCTCTGTACTACCACATCCTGTACTCCTACACTACCACACCCTGTCCTCCTCCACAAACTCATCCTGTCCTCCTCAACAAACACATCCTGTACTTATACACAAACACACCCTGTATCTCCTACACAAACACATCCTGTACTCCTACACTACCACACCCTTTACTCCTACACCAACACATCCTGTACTCCTCCACAAACTCATCCTGTCCTCCTCAACAAACACATCCTGTACTCATACACAAACACACCCTGTATCTCCTACACAAACACATCCTCTACTCCTACACTACCACACCCTTTACTCCTACACTAACACATCCTGTACTCCTACACTACCACATCCTGTACTCCTACACTACCAATTATTGTACTCCTACACTACCAAATCCTGTACTCCTACACTGCCAAATCCTGTACTCCTACACTACCAAATCCTGTACTCCTACACTACCAAATCCTGTACTCCTACACTACCAAATTCTGTACTCCTACACTACCAATTATTGTACTCCTACACTACCAAATCCTGTACTCCTACACTACCATATCCTGTACTCCTACACTACCAAATCGTGAACTCCTACACTACCAAATCCTGTACTCCTACACTTATACTCCTCCTGTATTCCACCACGTACCATTTGTCATATCACTAAGACACGTTTCTGTTCTTCCATACTTTTTCTTATACAAGTGCCCTTTCACAATATGACAAAAATCAATAACAAAGTTGAAAGATATTTAAAGCTGATCATCTGAAGCTAATAACGAAGTACAAAATTACCGTGCTCTGTGCGATGATATTTTGTGCGAAACCAGCTAAATATAGATCCGTCTGATTATTGTAATGCTAATTAGGAATCGGCTTCTACACATCAAACTACATCGGGAGTTTGCTAATATCGGTTGAAATACCAATTTCCATCCCAGCGCGGGACACACTCGCTTCGCGCTTAATGTCGACGAGACACTGCTGTGAGGAGCTAACGGAAATATAACTGCTCCTACGCATTTGACAACGATGGTTTCTCTCTCATCTGGTGTCCTGTTTTAGTTGGTGGTGCTTATGGTAAATGTTCATATACAGACATTTGCAATCGCAACATCCTAATGTTATAGTTGTAATCAACGTATAAAATACAGGTAACTGATAATAAATCAAATCTATTCAATTGCATTTCCGGTCATCGCAGACACGTTGGAAATTCGTGTCAATACGTCACCTATCAAGGGCATGCTGGATGTGCCGGGTGGAAGGTTCTTCTCCAAGATTTTCAGCAGAATGAAGAAGGCAATGAAGATAGTTAAACCTGAAAATGAAGCATAACACATAAAGATTAAAACAAATATATACTACGTGACATGCTTAAGAAAAAGTGCCAAGGCACTGTAGCTCACCTGGGAATGTAGTCAACAGTGTAAAGTTGACACCGTCGATATGTAAATCTTTCTGCATATATACGGATGATAAGGACCTTTCAGAGCCAGGTATGCACCTCGGCTGTTATAGTGGTATACAGAAAGTCGGATTCGAACCAATGAAACATTGGGGGGTGTCATTGGTGGGAACATGCTTGTGAAGTTTCGATTTCATTGATGCGGTGATAATGGCAATGGCGAAATCATGAGTATCTTGATTTCCGAACTAGAAATAACGACGCCGAATGATCAAGTTGATTCTGTTTCAGGACTCAACATATTTTCATGATTTCGGAATAGAGAAATTATGTTGTTTCCGTAAGTAGAATCAAGGGGCTATGAAGGGGCGAGTTTTCCATAACCATGCAAAATGACATATAGTAGCGACAGTTTTACTTTCACAAAATGCACATTCAGAATTGCCAGTTAATTTCTAGCTCATGATCAACTGCAAAAACAATAGCGTGACACCATAACGATTAAAAAGAAGGAAATGTTTACGACGCATGACGGGACCACCAAGTCAAAGTGAACTTGACGTTAAGTCAGATTCGCTAAAAATACATCGCCCAAAATACCTCGAACGTACCTGACTGACATTCACAAAAACACAATCTGAAAATTGCTATTGTTGTACAATTGGTATGGATACTCAATACTAAATTGATTAGATCCGGCTTGCATCGTCTCAAGCAAAAGGATTGAAGTGATTGTGTTTCATCTTCCGCTGTGGTTCATTTTTTCATATAGAACAAAACTAATCACTAGTTCTTCCCTCACCAAAGCCCGGATCACACCTCAACTTCTTTTGGATGCAGATGTTATTATCAGGAGTAGACTACTCTATTTAGCTAATCCAATTACCCCCCTTTACCTTCACAATCTGCTCTAAATGAGTCGACCTGGAGACTGCCTCTTTACAAAAAGAGCAGAACCTTAAAGGCATATTCCCATTGCCAAGTCACAAAACTATATTTCAATTGTGCAATATTAATAGTTTCCGTATTTCGCAAACTGGGTCGAACTCAAACTCGGATTGAGCTTTAAAAGTTCATGTTTGCAGCAAACTTGCCCCAGATCGCCGTAAAATGTCAGCATTTGTCAAACACTAGGTCTACACGTCACGAGTTGCCGCTGACTGCGCTTCTTCACGAGGCAAAGGCGTTAACTGACTATAAAAGTCTAGTTTCCCCTCTTGCCGAACTAGGCTTAGATTTTGGCTGAACTAACGAGACTATGCACAGTCCAATCAATATCGCGTAACGAACCAGACATCCGGTTTGTCAGTCGACTGCAGGATTTGCAAAGCATGTGTACCGCCCACTGGGCGTCGACAGATATTTTGCAAATATTTTCATGTTTTTCATCAAGGTGTGAGGTAAGACCCGTTTTATTACAATATAGATCTTGATTATCGATCGGATCGTCTTGAAGGAAATGCAAGTGATATAAGAGGTGGAATGTGATTGGTCAAAAGGAGAGACATAGAAGGGGCATAACTGAGTAATAGCCACTGGTGGTGCTACGATCGAGCCTTCAATTATTTACAGGTGGCCATCATGTATATTTTAATATTGCTAAGCGAGGTGTTAAACAACAAACTATCAAAATATACGCCTACAGATGCCGCAAATTAAGCTTAAATGTCTACTGGCTGCAGAATGAACGTAAACGTCTACAGTTTCTGCAGATTGGCCTTTAACAAGTACAGTTTCTGCAGATTGACCTCAAATGTTTACAGTTTCTTCAGATTGACCTCTAACGTCTACAGTTTCTGCAGATTGAGTGAGTGAGTGAGTGAGTTGGGTTTAACGCCGCTTTTAACAGTATTCCAGTTATATCACGGCATGTCAGCTTAATGTGGGAGGAAAGCCAGAAGTGATGCAGGTCTCAGACGTTTACCTCTTCGGTGAAACCCACGGGTATGGTGCTGACAAACCTAGAAACATAGTCAGGGCGAACCGGGATTCGAACCCACAATCATAGGTTTCTGGCATTCCCAAGGGACTCTGCACAGCGAATCGTGGCGCCTTTGACGACTTTGCCACCCGTGCCCCCTTCTGCAGATTGTTTTGACCTCACACGTCTAAAGTTGCTGCAGATTGGGTGTGCATTGCTCATTCCAAAGTTGCTAAATTTGCCTTTAAATGTCTACAATTACTCCAGATTGGCCTAGAACGTCTACCGTTGCTGCAGCTTGGGTCCACATATGGTGGTCTGCAGTTGCTGAAAATTACGTGTTAATGTCTACAGTTGCTGCAGGTGTAACTTAATGTCGCCGCATGTGTTATCTTAAGTGTTGTGATTTCCAAACATAACGGAGACTGCCCCAGGTTGGTTCTGATTCCGCACATCTGATTCCGCAGAAGAACACGCCTTCACACATCGAGTTGTCACTAAAGTTGCGCATTAACAAAATGAAATGTTGTTCCAAATAACATATAAGCCGAGAAATCACATTTGCATTGTTTGAAATTCCTCATCTATTCAAATATCCTTGGTATATTTGCAAAAAATATATTGGCGTACATGTAGAAAGGAACACTGGAAAATCTACAGAAAGCTTCAGATAGTCAACAGATACTAGGGCGGTGAGGTAGCCTAGAGATAAAAGCGTTCGCTCGTCACGCCAAAGACCCGGTTTTAATTCCCCACGTGTGTACAACGGGTGAAGCTCATTGCTGGAATATTGCAAAGAGCGGCGTAAAACCATACTCACTCACTCACTCAACAGACAAGTTTATTCAGGCGTGGGTAAGCTTGACTTGGAGAACACAGGAGTTGAAGGATTGTAGCTGAATGATGGCCGCTAAATATGAAAACTGGTTATTTAACTGACATTTATGGAATGCAGTTGCTTCATACATACTATATTTCATTCGTATCCCCCATATTGGAGAGAAAATTGGTTTACACACCTAACATCATCTTTGCGGGTGATTCCGGGGGAATCCAGAAGAGGATGAGGGTGATGGAGGTGAGAAGGACACACGGCAGAATCAGGATGTAGTTATACAGGGTGGCTCGTCTCTGGAAGATCAAGGTGAAGGTCAGGTCCACGTAGGGCTCAGGGCAGCAGCTGTAGAACTTGACGTTGCGTTTCGCAGGGACGTCAATGATGGTCCAGGCGTTGCTGGTCACGTACTCTGTAAGATCTATATAGTCTTTATCTTCGTTGAAATGAACTTCAAGCTTGTTACCGTCATAGGTCCAGGATCCGAATTTCAAAATACACGACTGAACATCAAATGGAAAGGTCGTAACGTCGATCTGACAAGAGCTGCGGTACACAGCCTGGGGCATCCACTGAACTCGGCCATCATGGTGGAACACACACAACACCGTCCGCTGTTCTTGCAGGCGGTAGTCAGCGCTAGATGCAAGAACAATGCAGATAGTCAGATATACACATGTGTACATTGATGGATGAGTGGGTGGCAGGATGGATGGATGAGGGGTGGAGTGATGGATGGGAGGGTGGATGGATGGATATTTGGATGATGGATGGGTGGACAGAGGATAAATGGATGACTGGATGGGTGGTAGGTAAGTTGGATGGATGAGGGATGGATGAATGAGGGATGGATGGATGAGGGATGGATTCTTGATGATGAGGATGGATTTCCTGATGATGAGGATGGATTTATCGATGGGGGTGAATTGATGGATATTTGGATGTTGGATTATGGATGGGTGGACGGAGGATAAATGGATGGATGGGTGGTAGGTAGGTTGGGTGGATTGGTGGATGGATGTATGAGTCGGTGATAGGGTGGATGGATTGGTAGACTGAAGATTCATAAGCAATATTAAGCGTTAACCCTGCCTTACTCCCTGCCTGTAAGATATGCGACCTTTACGGTAGAGAATTCTTGCAACAGAAAAATGCCTGTCACACACTGAGAATAAGAAACATCAGCAGTAATTCAGGTGGAATGGCGAAACCTACTAATCCCTCCCCCTCCTGAGCATGTCTGGGGTTCTTGTTAGACTCTAACCAGGACGTCTGCACAGTGTAAGGGTGATTTGCTTCCGTGTAACACAGATACAGCCATTCACTTAAATATAATGTAATAAGTGACAGAGATTCAAGCGTATGCACGTTACCATTTTGCATTTCAAAGTAAGATGAATGCCCTTGTATTGTAACTGCATCATATTATGACATTATCAATAAAAAAAGGTTTACAGTTTTTCAATAAGATATTTTAAATTAACTGGATTACATGAAGTTACATTTGCCTGACACAAACTGACAGTGACAGGAATTAATCCCTTTAGCAATGTTTGGGACTATGTCGTATTAATCACGAGGAGGTGATTGGGGTGAGGGCGATGGGGTTAATCTGTCCAAACAAATATTCATGATGGTACACTAAAAGGTTATCCTGTGATCCAGTTCATCAACTGGAATAAGGGGGTAGATAGATTCCAGGGAGATAACCCCTTACATTTGATGCTGCATGGTGGGACTTACTAGTTGTACAGCTTGATGTCTGGCAACCAGACTTTGTTCCAGGGTATGCGCACCTTGTCGACGCCGCCATATTCGGTCATGTTCCACGTTGCCTGCTCATCTTTCCACCACTGGAACCAAGGACCATCACTGATCTATATGTGGCATTATTACGTCACCGCTCAACATTCGGAGTAAAGGACGGTCACTGGCACTGGTATATATAGTTATAACATGTCATGTCTCAACACCTTGAGTAAAGGGCGGACACTGACATTGGTATATATAGTCATAATATGTCATCTCTCAACATTCGGAGTAAAGGACAGACACTGACAATGATATATATAGTCATAATATGTCATCTCTCAACGCTCTGAAGGACGGTCAGTGACACTGGTATATATAGTTATAATATGTAATGTATTATCACTTTGAGTAAAGGACCGTCACTGACACTGTTATATATAGTTATAATATGTCATCTCACATCACTTTTAGTAAAGGCCGGACGGTCACTGACACTATATATATAGAGTCATAATATGTCATCTCTCATCACTTTGAGTAAAGGCCGGACGGACACTGACACTAGTATATATAGTTATAATATGTCATCTCTCATCACTTTGAGTAAAGGCCGGACGGTCACTGACACTATATATATAGAGTCATAATATGTCATCTCTCATCACTTTGAGTAAAGGCCGGACGGACACTGACACTAGTATATATAGTTATAATATGTCATCTCTCATCACTTTGAGTAAAGGCCGGACGGTCACTGACACTAGTATATATAGTTATAATATGACATCCCTTAACATTCTGAGTAAAGGACAGCCACTGGAATTTGTGTATAGCCCACCACTGATTATGTCAAATTCACTACAGTTGGACACCCGGCTCTTCCTGTTTCAGTCACTTCAAGTCGTAAAGGGAACGGTTGACAGTGAACGTTCGTGTCACTGCTGTCTGCAGTGTAGGTTAACTAAGATCACATTACAGTCTAATATAAGTGTTCCAAAGTCTTAAAGTGAAATATATGGAAGCCTGTGTCAGGTTGTGAAAGAAACGTCATAACTGATGTTGTGGTATGGAAACAAAGTAAACGCATCTTGTCTCATCATGTCAAACTCCAAACATGGACAAGACACATTGTGAATATTGCTATAATTCATCAGTATCACAAAGATTCATCAAGGATATGGTAGAATTGTCAACAAAATGCTTCATCGGAGTTGATTAAAACCTTACATTTAGTACATACCTCATACCACCATAAATACCACGGACCTTATACCACAAAAATACAACGGACATTATACCACCATAAATACAATGGACTATGTACCACATAAACACAACGGACCTTACACCACATAAATACAACGGACCTTATACCACATAAATACAACGGACTTTGTACCACATGAATACAACGGACTTTGTACCACATAAATAAAACGGACTTTGTACCACCATAGATACAACGGACTTTTTACCAGATAAACACAACGGACCTTATGCCACATAAATACAACGGACTTTGTACCACATAAACACAACGGACCTTATACCACATAGATAAAACGGACTTTGTACCACCATAGATACAACGGACTTTGTACCACATAAACACAACGGACATTATACCACAAAAATACCACGGACCTTATACCACCAAAATACAACGGACCTTATCCCATATAAACACAACGGACCTTATACCACAAAAATAACATGGACCTTACACCACATAAATACCATGGACCTTATACCACATAAATACAACGGACTTTATACCACCATAAATACGTGTAAAATGTCGTGGCTCACTATCAGGATTAGACAAATTCCTCACAAGCTCCTTATTGAAACAGGGCGATTTGGGGACAATCATAGGATGCACAGATTATGCAATCGAAGAAGTCTTACTTCATATTTGTATGTCCGACGCAAAACGATCAACGAAGTGAATATATTACTCCGATTATCAATAAAAGCCTAAATGACAACCAATGACATGAGTACATTGCGTTATCTTTCAATGTCATCCAGAATCGAAAATGATAAAAATCGTCTCTCGTGTTCAATGAATTGTATGATATGCGCCTGCCGCCTCTTAATGTTGATTTTAATATTGATTGCCTGGTTTATGGGATTGTTTGTACTCTGTTCCCTTTCTTGCAACAGAGATCTGAATATGAATATCTTAAGGCCCATAAATGCTGCTCTCAGACGAGGATGTTAAACTCCAAAGGGTTTGATGTGTCTCAGTGCGTGTTCCTATTTGAAAGAAGTTAGAAACGCGTCTATGTTTTCAGAATCATGCCCAAGCTTGTAAAGAGCATCCCAAGTATATTTAGAGGTATAACAATCACGTAACGTTTTTATGTTTTGGTATTTTTTCATATGTTAATACATCCGCCAGCCTACCTAAAAACATATAGCCATCACAATATATGTTAAAACAGTGTTATGTTTTGGTAGTTTATGCATGCAAAATGCATCCACCAGTCTGTCCAAAAAAATATAACCATCAAATGCAAAAGTTATAACAGTGTTATGTTTGGTGGTTTATGATCTAAATGACTATGAGTTGACGCGGGAGTGAAGAACCCGCAACAGTGAAGCATGTTGGTCACATCTGCTATCTACATCCAGTCAGTCAGTCGGTACATTAACTTTATGCGTCATATGTTCTCTAGGGAAGGCAAGTATATCACCCCACTTCTTACTTAACACATGTTTATGTATACATGTATGTGGCTCTGTATTAATTTGTTCCGCCATGTGAAGTTTCTTTCAACTTTACTGGTACAAGAAATGAATTGACACGAAAATATTCGATGGTAAGAAAATACAGGAAGCAATATAATTTACAGCTCTAAATAGATTTATCAAAGATTACCAGTGGCGAAGAGTGACGAGGTAATACATTCCATATGCAGATTACGCATAACTTAGAATAAAGGGCAATTACGTGTTCGAAACGTCAACACCAGAGAGTAATCAGTCTCGCTTATCTGCCGAAGCGAATTCCATTGGGCGTAAAAGGCAACATAGTGATGACAAATATTTCCGGGACATGAAGATCAATCACCATGTTGCACATCACTTACATGCTATAACTTATATATCATTATGAACATACTATACCTTGTATATCATTACTTTCACTTGTATATCATACTTTATATTCCGTAAGTTGTATATGATCATGAACATACGGTCACTTTATGATGTCACATTCATCACTACATACCATCAATTTTATGCCACCAATGATATTGCATCTCTTGTATTGCATCACATGTATATCCTCCGTTACTAGCCAATACTAGTTTCTCATCACTTTCGAACAACTCCTCTATGTCACCACTTACATATCATCACTTACATGTATACGCTATCACTGGTATATCATCACTGATACTAGATCAATTGTATGTCACCACTACTATTCCATTATTTGTATGTCACCAGTTATATGGCATCACTTGTATTTCGTTACATGTATCTCATCACTTGAGTGTATATTACCTGATGGTCCTCATTGTATGACTGCCATGGTGGGTATGCCATAACTAGTATATCATTGCCGAGACATACTCTATCGCCTCCAGCATTTGATGTCCACATTTCACAAGGTTTCATCTCTACAAATCTTGCTAAAAAATTGTTTGATCAAGACTACAACATTGAATGCCTTAGTAAAACTTTCAAACCCTTTTTTATGATATACATATGGAGAACATTTCCACTTTTGACGCATCAGTGACAAAAATAGTGTCGGATGCATTTCCCTATTTTGACTTATACCATACGTTCCCGTAGTTTTTTTAGGTCAACAACCGACTTGCCTTTGCATGTGTTTGTAACGGTTTCCATCGTTGGGGAAGGATATGCTCACCATCTAGTATCATCACTATTTGATAACTGATAAATACATATGATAGGAATCGTTAAGCAGACATTTCTTATGATTATGGAAAGTTTTGTCGCTTTTATTCGCATGTTCTCGAATGTATATACGTCATCAGACCGTCTCCGTGGTCTAGTGATAGAACGTCCGCCCGGAGACCGAAGGGTCGGGGTTTCGCCGGATCCCCGGTCATGTCATAAAGAGAGACGATAAAAGATTGTACTTGTTGTTACCCAGCCTGGCGCTCGATATTAAGAGCCTAAAACAAGGAATGGTAGGCTCAGATTCAGTATACTGTGTATCATCCCATAACAAACATTTCATCTTTATCATCATTTGTACATTACCAGGGTCATATTTACACATCGATGGCCAAGCATTCAGCAAAAATCTACTTGTGCATCCCTTTAAAGCTAACTGCATATATTATTATCCTATCCGTTAAGAATAATACATCACAAAAGTATAATGATACCCCAGACACACGGTGATCCATTACGCTATGCTAACATACTGTTTGTTTGATAGATGTACATGTAACTTTTTTTTAAAATCAGGCCGCCGTCGTGTGGCAGGAGTACTGCTGTGTGGCATCAGTCAACAAACACTTACTTTTTTATGCGAATTGTACGAGGGCGGGACATGCTTACCCTTACACTTGGTGTCAACACTGATTTTCAGGGATCCATTCATGTAATGTTTACCGCTATTTTACGTTTTGCGCCAAATGGAACCTGTTCCGGCAGAGAATCCAGACGGGTTATTCTCTGGCACTGAGGTGTTATATTTACACAGGTATATTATAATAGTGTTATTATATTTGTGAAGGGGAGGTGGGATAGCGCAGTCGTTAAACCGTACGCTCGTCACGCCAAAGGCTCGGATTTCCAACACGATTACACACTGTGAAGCTAATTCCTGCAGCAACACTTCAAGATGAATTAATGAATTCATCTGAGATCCTGCTGCAGTTAGTTTCAATGAGTATGTCATCCTACATATAGGGATCTCTGTTACATCCTTGGTATTTAGTGCCAGTGTGTCAACCCTACATACATGTGTATACATGTTACATCCTTGGTCTTAAGTGTCAGTGTCCAGACCCTTGATATATGTCTATGTCTCAACCTGACGAGTAGTTTAGAGCCTTGCTATTTTGCGTCAGTGCCTCAACCCTTCTGGATATTAGATCGGGGACACCTGGAGTTAGTGCAAAACATGTGTAGCAAAACCCTGGAAGGTCGGTTACACAAAACTTCTTTGTTGCAGCAAGTTGCAATGAAACGGAAACGTATGTATGGGCTTTGTTAAATCCCCTCCTACATAGTCACATTAGATTCTTGCTATTTGGTGACGGGTTATTGTATGAACGTGATTACCGTTATATCCTTCATAGTAAGGGTCAGTTCATCAACCCTACATACATGTGCCCCCTCAAGATCATAGACATGTAGAGTCAGTGGCTCGACCTACATACACTCGACCTGTATATATATAGATCCTAGATACTGACTGTCAAGTCAATTGAGTGGCAAACATCCTTAGATCCTTGATATTTGTGTTGCAATACCTCAACCGTGCGTACATATATCCGTTCGAAGTTAGATCCTTGATATACAGTGACAATGCCTCAACCTTTTAAATTTGCGTCTTGTGTTTATGACAGAGCCCCAAAACTAGTAAAATATACATTATAACATCCGCACCCGTTAGACCTTTGCAGTTTGGTTCAAGTGCCTCGACCCTTAAAAGTAGATCAGTATATCAACCCCACACACATATAGATACATCTCCGTTTGATCCTTGATACTTAATGTCTCAATCCTGAACTATATTTATCCCCGTTCTGTTTCAGTATCTGTAGCTCCACTTTAGGACCTTGATATTAAGTGCCCCTGTCTCAATCCGATTTTATGTACTTACGTAAATGTCCCACACATTCAGCGTTAGTATCTGATCCTGCTCGTTCAAGTCCATGATCTGCGTCAATTGTATGCCAAAGGTGACTTTAAGAGTGTCGTTGAAATGCCGAACTGGGCGACTGTATTTTCCGCGCACACGATACTTGTGGAGAATCTGTTTCACAAGCTGGTCTTCGTAGGAGAGCGTGTCCACACCTCGATTACCACTGGACGTAGCTATGGACGCAGAAACAAGAGGAAATTTGTCAACAAAAGAATGGGTTTGAACATCTTTGCTTTGACTCTCTTGAAGTGCTTGCAGAACGTTGCGATATTTCTTAAGTTATAAAATGAAATCTGTCCGTTCATACGTTGTGAGTACATCACATCGTTGACTCAAGAGATAGTAGAGAAACCTTATATTAAGATCCTACTTTGGTCGTATAAACGCACTGTGATGTAAAACATGCTACATGTCAGTGGGAGACTTCAAGAACATTCAATCATTCTGTAAGAAAATTCAATGTGAGTTTTATTGAAATTGGAATTGTGTAAATCCATTTTAAAAACCCCGTAAGCTTGCACACAATTAGTAAATTGAGGAAACGGTTCACGGGACAACATCTATAGTATTAATAGCATCGAGACAAGTATGCTTTACATAGATAACGCTGTTCTCAGTAATGCTAAGAATGATTTGTACAGCTTAATCGAGGCTATACAGACAGTTTAATTTCATAACCGAATGGTACAACATGCACGAGACAATTGCAGCACATGAAACTGTATTTACAATGTAATGTCATGACTGAATAAGTGCGTTAACGAATGTATGTTGTTAGATTGCACTCAGCAATATTCCAGCTGTTTGACGGCGACCTGAAACAGGTTCGGACGAGGAACACCTATGATTAATATCTTGAGCAAAGTCCCAGGCCATCAGGGCATTGCTGCACAACAACAGCAGCGGGACAGACACTGGCCATCAAAACGCATTCAGCCTATGCCTACGACCAGCAATTGGGTGATTCGTGCCTTTGTTAATTTAACAGTAACAGAGTAAATACGTTTATTTCTTCATCACAGAGAGAATGAGTGAGATGGGTTCAACGCCGCTTTAAACAGTATTTCAATTACATCACGTCATGTCAGCTTGCTTTTGGGGGAAACTAAGTGATACATTACACAGAGATGATTCAGTAGGCGCCGAATAAACAGTCGTGACTGTAAGTACATGAATATTGCAGAAAGTCAAGTTGAGGTAATACGTAGACAACTGCCGAGTGACTGTGGCCTTGTCAACATGATGCTATGTCTCACACATGGGTTTCCACACCTCCTCATCCTCTGACACTTGTTTAATGAAACTTGTGGGAGTGACGGATGTTTCCGTTAGAACAGAATATGTTTTCCCTTTTCGCGAACACCTGGTGTCATAACCGATTTCCAGTGATCCATTGATGTTATATTCATTACTTTGGCAGATATTCGCGACACATTATTCTCTGGCTTTGACGTTGTGAATATACTGAGTATAGTGAAGCTCGTGTCGTATGATATGGAGAATCGTGTATTTAACAGCGATTACGGTATATTGGGGAGAATATAGTGTACATTGTTCATTGTGTATAGTTCATTGTGTCTAATAATGTTAAACTTTGTATAGTGATTTATAGAGTAGATTATATATTATATTAGTTGTTACAACACTGTAAGATATTACCTATTATATATTACATGGTTCGGAAATATTACTTTTAGAAAATATGATGAACTGGAAAAAATATATCATTCATTTTTCAGTGTAAAGGAAAACGATTATAACTATACGAACGATAAATTATAAGTGACAACACATGTCGGATATGGTTAATGTACATTTGTACTCAAATTTTCGTCCATAGCTGTTTTAGTAAATGAAGGTCTAATGGCTTACAACACAGAAACTGGTAATGTCACCAACCACGCTTATTCCAAAATGAATGTCGATTTGCTTAATGAGATCGTTAACAATTGCTTATGATAAACGTCAGCCCGTGATATGACAGGCGATAATTTGAAAATAGTTTAATTTAGTGATCGCAATTGAAACGGTAATTGGTTTCAGCAACACATATCTTTCTAGTACGGAAACTGGCTACTGAGAGATGTAACAATACACGGTTTGACTACAGGATGTACATTGTATTTGGAATACTATTTCAGTGGTGCCCTGAGTGTCATGTAGTAGGTAAGTGAGTGAGTGTATTTGGTTTAACGACGCTTTCACTTCTATCACAGCGTGTCAGTCCGACGTTTACGGACACCTGAAGAGATGTGACAGACGTTTACCACATTTATGAAACCCACAGGCATGGGTATGGTGCTGACAAACCTAGAAATAAAATCATTACGAATCAGGTATTAGAACATACGCATCAAATTGTGAGCCTATCTAGTGGCTGATACGAAGTGAAGATTGATAAATACTTACAAATCAATGACATCGCCAAGACAGCAAGGCCGTAAATAGCACGATACACGTCCATGTTGAGTCCTCCGGCTTGTCTCTATAACACAAATAGTAATTGTTGACGAGAAGAAATGAAATATTTTGCTAACCAAGTAAATCTGATTTGTCATTTGAAATAACAGCATTGCATAGTCAAAGTTTCTGTAAGGCTAAATCAGCAATAAAGTGTAGCGTTTGTTGAGTCAACTGTAGGCAAAGAGGTTGTACCTCTTTGTGGCATTTTTGTACGCCATTCAAACATCTCGCATGCCCTGAACACGACTGCATCACAAGGCCTCATTGGAACATCCCACACACATTTAGTTCTAGTCGCAATGCAACATAATACCTCCAATATCCCAACCTCAACAACGGTCACAGCCAAGCACCACTTTGAACAGCACATATTCACCCGACACAGTCACGGAACTACCCCACCCCTACCCCCATACTCACCCTTCCAACATCCAAGAGTCCATACTCCCTAGGCACAGCCAATGACCATCACCCCTTTGGAACATACACTATGCTACATAGTTCTACAACCTTACTCCCACTTATAACACCTTTTTTTCTCACTGGCTGTAATCACAGTCCTGGTATTGAGTTATGTCAACTTCAAATAAATCCTGTAGATAACAATGCAGAAAGCAACCTGTTCCAATAACGAGAAAATAGAACACCTTTGTGCGAAACAAACTCCAACAATACCGCTAACGTTCAAGGGATAGACATATTCATCGAGACAAGATTAGATCACACTAAGGGCCAGTGTAAACTATACAAGCCCAGGGGAATATATACATACTGCCACAATCATAACCAGTAAGAATAAGCAGACCCACACGGTGATTCTATGTAAGACAGAGGCTTTACATTTATACACATTAGAAGCTACAGGTGCATAAACAATGTAACGCACATCTGAAGAGAACACTGTAGGTTAAACACATACTTGTATATACTCAGGGCAGGATAGATAGGGAGGATGAACACATATATACAGAAGACTCTGCTGGAGAGACAAAGGGGATAAAAGCATATACAGAGAAGACACTGCTGGAGAGACAAAGGGGATAAAAGCATATACAGAGAAGACACTGCTGGAGAGACAAAGAAGACAAAAGCATATACAGAGAAGACACTGCTGGAGAGACAAAGGGGGTGAACGCATAGACACTGTAGGAGAGACAAAAAGGATGAACACATACATACAAAAGACACTGTTGGAGAGACAAAGGGGATAAACGCAATGTATACAGAAGACACTGCTGGAGGCTGGAGAGACAAAGGGATGAACGCATATATACAAAAGACACTGTTGGAGAGACAAAGTGGATAAACCCACAAAATCAGAAGACAGTGCTGAGAGATAAAGGGTATAAACGCATATATACAGTACTAATGGAGGAAATAAAGACTATTTATTCATTCATTCATAGGACACTGTATGACAGTCAGGGAGGACAAACACACATACACATAGGACACTGTATGACAGATGGGGAGGATAAACACTTATATACATAGGACACTGTATGACAGACAGGGGGAATAAACATTTACACACATAGGACACTGTATGACAGACAGAGGGGATAAACACTTATGCACATAGGACACTGTATGATAGACAGGGAGGACAAACACGTATGCACATAGGACACTGTATGACAGACAGGGAGGACAATCACTTTTACACATAGGACACTTTATGACAGACAGAGGGGATAGATATTTGCACAAATAGGACACTCTATGACAGACAGGGAGAATTAACACTTATACACATATGACACTGTATGACAGACAGAGGGGATAAACATTTACACACAGGACACTGTATGACAGACAGGGGGGATAAACACTTATACACATAGGACACTGTATCAGATCATGGGCGATACAGAAAAGGTCAGTTTGAAAGACGAAGAACTGCACATTACTCATATATATCAATAGAGGACCATTTGCCCTGAACAAGAGCCGCTTGTATCATCACTGGTAACCATTAACAGCGATTCATAAAAACATAATATAGTCAGCATCGTTATGGACTCTGCTTTTGGGACAGATTTCATAATTGTCGAAATTGTATTGTCGTTTTTAATTGTATATTGTTTTTATTTAATATGATTTGCTCTTTACGTCTTATCGGCATTATTTCAGCCACATAGAGACGAGACCAAGTTATTATATCCTCAATTTATGCAAAGGTATATTTATAAACAAGTTATGAAACATATTTGAGCATACTGTATTTAAACATATTTCAGCATAACAATATCAATAATACAGTTTAAAATACGGGCTATATACCTGAGAAAGAACTGCATATTACATGTTTTTATGTTTTATATAGAAAAATATGTCCTGAGAAAAAAATGCACATTACACGTACATGTATATATGTTTTATATAGAACAATATGCCCTGAGAAGAACTGCATATTACATGTATATATATTGTTGTATAGACCAGTAAGCCTTGATAAACAACTGCATATTACATGTATATATGTTTTATGAATGAACAATATGCCCTGTTAAACAACTGCATATTACATGTATATATGTTTTATATAGAACATTATGCCCTGATAAAAAAAACTGCATATTACATGCATATATGTTTTATATGGAACAATATGCCCTAGAAAGAACCGTATAACATGTATATATGTTTCATAAAACACAATATGCCCTGAGAAAGAACTGCATGTTACATGTATATATGTTTTATATGGAACATTATGTCCTGAGAAAGAACTGCATACTACATGTATATATGTTTTATATAGAACAATATGCCTTGAGAAAGAACTGCATGTTACATGTACTAATGGAGGAACTGCATACTACATGTATATATGTTTTATATAGAACAATATACCCTGTGAAAGAACTGCATATTACATGTACATGTATATATGTTTTATATAGAACAATATGCCCTGAGAAAGAACTGCATATTTAATATGATTTGCTCTCGGAACGAACAGTATATTACGTGTCCAAGTGTTTCACAGAACGGTGTGCCATGTTTCGGGTATAAATACTTTTGGTGAAGAACAATTTGTCCTCAGTATGAACTTCGTATTACCTGTATATATGTTGTGATATAGACTCATGCCTTGAGCAAGAACTGCACATAACAAGAATATATGTTTTATACATTACAATATGCCCTGAGAACTGCATCTTCCATGTATATATGTCCATATATTGTACAGAACAATATGTATGCCCTGAGAGCCTTATATAAAACAATATGCCCTGCGAAAGATCAGCATATTACATGTATAAATGTATTATTTAGAACAATACGACCTTAGAAGGAGCTGAATATTGTATTTACATGTATATATGTTTTATATACAATATACCTTTAGAAAGAACTGCATATTACATGTTTATATGTTTTATACAGAACAATATGCTCTGAGAAAGAACTACATATCACATGTCCATGTATATATGTTTTATATGGAACTATATGTCCTAGGAAAGAACAGCATATGACACGTATATATGTTTTATATAGAACAATAGGCCCTGAGAAAGAGTGAGTGAGTGTAACAATATCAATAATACAGTTTAAAATACGGGCTATATACCTGAGAAAGAACTGCATATTACATGTTTTTATGTTTTATATAGAAAAATATGTCCTGAGAAAAAAATGCACATTACACGTACATGTATATATGTTTTATATAGAACAATATGCCCTGAGAAGAACTGCATATTACATGTATATATATTGTTGTATAGACCAGTAAGCCTTGATAAACAACTGCATATTACATGTATATATGTTTTATGAATGAACAATATGCCCTGTTAAACAACTGCATATTACATGTATATATGTTTTATATAGAACAATATGCCCTGATAAAAAAAACTGCATATTACATGCATATATGTTTTATATGGAACAATATGCCCTAGAAAGAACCGTATAACATGTATATATGTTTCATAAAACACAATATGCCCTGAGAAAGAACTGCATGTTACATGTATATATGTTTTATATGGAACATTATGTCCTGAGAAAGAACTGCATACTACATGTATATATGTTTTATATAGAACAATATGCCCTGAGAAAGAACTGCATATTACATGTACTAATGGAGGAACTGCATACTACATGTATATATGTTTTATATAGAACAATATACCCTGTGAAAGAACTGCATATTACATGTACATGTATATATGTTTTATATAGAACAATATGCCCTGAGAAAGAACTGCATATTACATGTATATATGTTTTATATAGAACAATATGCACTGATAAACAACTGCATATTACATGTCCATATGTTTATAATATAAGGACACTATGACTTGAGAACTGCATCTTCCATGTTTATATGTCTTATACAGAACAATATGTATGCCATGAGAACCACATGCATATTACATGTATATATGCCTTATATAAAACACTATGCCCTGAGAAAGAACTGCATATTACATGTATATGTGTCTTATATAAAACGATAAATGTATTTGGTAAAGAACAATTTCCCCTCAGTATCATCTTCGTATAACCTTTATATATATGGTGTGATATAGACAAATTGCCTTGAGCAAAAACTACATATAACATGTATTTATGTTTATATAAGAACAATATGCCCTCTGTTTTACACAGAGCATTATGACCTGAGAACGAACTGCACACAACGCGCATTTATATGTGCATTGGGATAGAACAATTTGCTCTGGAAAAGTGCTGCACACAACGTGCATTTATTTTGGTATTAGTACCAATCAATGTTGCCTCAGAATAAACGTGCACATTATTTATATGTATTTATTAGTAGGGATCAATTTGCCCTGGAAACGAACTGCACACAACGTGCATTTAAATATGTATTAGCGCAGATCAGAGTACACTTGGATAGAACTACAGAATAAGGTGGTGTGTTACAGATTTTATTTATTTCAGATAGTGCTTATTTATCTTAGCGGAAAGGGAGGATATAAGAGTATCGTAGCCCACGCGCATTGTAAGTTGTTTCTATTTTGCACTCATAATAGACAGTACTTTGCAAACGAAAACCTTGTCATATCCGCATGGTAATTGCATTATATGCAAATGGTAATTGCTTCACATTTAAATGGTAATTGCTCCTCGTGTATATGTTAATTACTTCACATTCAAATTAAAAACCGTTATTAATCTTTTGGCTTAGTAAACACATATTTTATACACACGTTTTCATTCTGATCGTGAGTCTGTGTCAATCATGGTCTATGAAGATACGAGATAGCTGAATTAACTGATTGAAATGTTACAGGTCAGCAGATAAGTTAACTCATACACAGCATTGCAGGGTAACAGATGGATTAACTCATACACAGCATTGCAGGTCAGCAGATGGATTAAACTCATACAGATCATTGTAGGTCAGCAGGTGGATCAACTCATACACAGCATTGCAGGTCGACAGGGGGATTAACTCATACACAGCATTGCAGGTCAGCAGATGGATTAACTCATACAGGGCATTGCAGTTCGACAGATGGATTAACTCATACATAGCATTGTAGGTCAGCAAATGAATTAACTCATACATAGCATTGCAGGTCGACAGGGGGATTAATTCATACAGAGCAGTGTAGGTCAGCAAATGAGTTAACTCATACATACCATTGCAGGTCGATAGGGGGGGTTAACTCATACAGAGCAGTGTAGATCAGCAAATGAGTTAACTCATACATAGCATTGCAGGTCGACAGATGGATTAACTCATACAGATCATTGCAGGTCGACAGGGGGATTAACGCATACAGAGGATTATTGGTAAGCAGATGGATTAAGAGATACAATGTATTACAGATTAGAGATTGATTAACTAACACACTGTGATATAGTTTAAGCAGATGGATTAACTCATACAAAGCATTACAGGTCAGGAAATGGATTAACTAACACAACGTAATATTAGTTAGCAGATGGATAACTGACACAATGCATCACAGGTTAACAGGTGGATTAACTATCACAATGTTTTACAGGTCAGTAAATGGATTAACTAACACAATGTATCACAGGTTAGCAGATGGATAACTAACACAATGTATTATAGCCTAGCAGGTGGATAACTAACACAATGCATTATAGGTTAGCAGATGGATAACTAACACAATGTATTATAGGTTAGCAGATGGATAACTAACACAATGTATTATAGGTTGGCAGATGGATAACTAACACAATGTATCACAGGTAAGCAGGTGGATAACTAACACAATGTATTATAGGTTAGCAGATGGGTAATTAACACAATGGATCACAGATTTGCAGATGGAGTACTAATGCAATCCATTACAGGTTGGAGGAATGAATAAAGGATATAATGTACATACATGTTAGCAGATGTATTACAGAAAACAGTGTTTATTCTAGTTAAAAAGATGGATAGGAAATGTGTACCGAATGTATGTTACCGGTTAGCACAAGCATTAATTGATACATTGTTATTACGAAAAGTACGTGGATTAAATGACAATTTATATAAAGGTTAGCAAATAGGTTAACTGACAATGTATTTTATAAAGGTTAGCAGATTATTTACTTATACAATGTTTATTAAGGTTAGCAGCTGGATTACCTAATACAATATTTATCAAAAGTAGATGGGTTAACTGAAATTGTATACAGAAGTCAGCAGATGGAAAAGCTGATGGAATGATCATTAAAGGTTAGCAGATAGATTAACTCATCCAATATTTGCCAAAGGCTAACAAATGGATCGACGGACAATTTTTAACACGTGTTAGCATAAGGATAAACTGATACATTGTTATTAAGAATAGTATATGGATTAACTGGCAATGACTAAGACAGGTCAGCAGATGAATGAACCAACAAGGTGTAGATTAAATAGCATTGCCTTCTACGACCTATGGAATCTGTTTCGGCAGATAGTCGAGATCATTGTTCTCTGGGGATGACTGTGATACACCGTAGCACGTTGCAAAACGTTGTGACAAAAATAAACAAATACAAAACTGTTACAGATAACGTACGTCTCTCCAGAACTAAAGTGAAGAATTACCCAGATTGGGTGTACCGTGGGATAGTTAGCTGGGGAATTTATAGCGTTCTCTTAGCTAAAATATCATTACGTTAACTGCCTAAAGTGTAAAAAGCTAAAAATCCAAACGACGGTAATATGTTATTTACAGCGAAGGAATGTGCTGGAGTGAAGGCATCCCCCCTAATCAGTATCACCCCCCACATCTCAGTCACCCCCTCATCCGTCTCCAACCCTCCCCCGGGGTTCTGATATGCCGCCCCTACCTTCACGACTTTCTCTATAGAGGACAGGATGCAGCCCGGTTAGAGGATTTCGAACAGTCTGAATATATTATACCTCAAACTTGAGACTATTGACGCGCACGCTGAGGCCTTTTACGTCAACTAGGTTTGATCGATGAGTTTGTGCCGAAACATAGGCGGCAAAATAATACCGTCCTCTTCCAGGCGACTATTTAAACCGGTAGCTATACTCCAATAAATGCCCGTCACGATGTGACTTATTCCTCCGAATAAACTCGTCCTCTCGTTCCATCGAAACATTCTTGTGTAGTCGTAGCAAGCTGAAATCTTTGCGAATACTTTCACCTGTGCGAATACATCAATATAGCTAATGACTTAGCAGCGAGAGTTAAGTTTGGTTTGGCCAATATGGAAATCGATCCGTCGCTTTTTCTGCTGTGCACAAGCGGTCTCGTGAGCCAACTTTAAGTTAGCATTAAATAATTGCCACAAAATGAAATTAGTATGTGGCTGAGGATGTGTAACGCATGCATGACTCGGTATTGTCTACGGTACCTGAAAACAGGGTCAGATACTGGAAGAATCACCTACATACGAACCTAGATATCGATGCGAAGGCAGCGGTCAACTTGAAGAACGTGGTCTTCTCCTGTCTCCACGTGGCTTCAAGGTGTATCCGAGGCTCGTGCTACTGGCTCTCCCGCGATATACCGCTTGGAAACATGTCTCTGAGTGGTGCATATACGTGCCTCCCTGGGTTGGTATTCCAGCTCGCGTTCTCTACCTGTTCATTTCTCGCCCGTTCAACATTACAGTCAGCTGGAAAGCGCTTCGCTTCTATCTTGCCCAGTGGTGCCGCACCAGACAGCAGTTTCACAAGCGAGCTTATCACAAAACTTTTTCCCTATGCACCTGTGCGCGTCATCAACTGCCAGGCACATGGAGCGATGTGGGAGGGAGAACGAACAACCCAGTACACCCAGCCCCGACGTTGGCCACTGCGCAGGCCGCATTCATTGCCCCCACTCTATCACATATTTATACCCAATCAGCCCGTGCAGCTATCTGTTTATTCAATACAGCATGCAAGTGTTACCACAACCTGCTTTTTCCTATATCGCCACCTAAGATATCCCCGTCCACATCGATTTGCAGACTGTAATCTTATATCCAGCTCAAATTACTTCTATGGTACGTGTGGGTATCAGTGAAACTTTAATCATTCAGCTATATTTGGGAGAATAACGCCGCATAATGATTTGTTAAAAAACCGTTCCTTTGTATCATTCTTTATGAAATAATCATTTATGACCAGCTACACGAATATGCCGGTAGTAGATTTTGATTTAATGACTGGTGTGATTTATGAAACCAATGCATTTGGCATGGCTGGTAATAACGTAACTTAATCGTCCTATTTTCTTTAATTAATTGCGGAGGAAACATAGCATCCCCGTAAATGATGAAGCTGGTATTCGTAATCGCATCTTCGGTGCACGACGTGTAAAGATAGCTGAAGGGTAGCAGGTGTGATGGATCCAGAACGGTTCGTTTCAGAGCACTACGACTCAAGATGAACATTGAATTTTTTATAAGACCATAAGTCCTCGCTTGAAAAGTATTGGAGACATATCGACTTAGTGGGTTGTTAAGACAATACACAGGTTGCTTGTCCTGGCTGTGTTGTTTGGCTTTGCATATCCAAAACATATTTCAAGTCATGTGTGGCGTCGACCGTGCGTAGCTTCGACCGTGTGATTTGATCGCCTCTGGTGCAGCTCTGGTTTATCTCTGGTTGAGCTCTTGATCAGCTCATCAGGTGCGTTGACCGGGAATCACATCCAAAGCTGCACTTTGGCATGCTTATTGTAAATGTGTCTGTGGATCAGGTGGTCGTTCCTCACGTGGCTGATCAATCCGCCTTCAGAGAACCGTCCACGTATGAGCGCGGGATGTACTGATCCATCACGAGGATGCAGCGTAGGACACAACACTGGCGAAGTAATTAAACTTGTTCGGTTGTTGTATTACCGTAAATATTTCATATGCAGTACTCCTGATTACCTTGTATGAGTAAGATGACTTTTCGGGTTTCCAGTACTCACTGTAAGGTTTCAGCAATAATTAACCGGGTCTCCGTAAACAGGTTCTCATTGTAGTTTCTTGCGTTTGCTGACACATGCATTCACACACATAACAACATTCAGAGAGACCATATAACACTGTATTTAACATGAAACTATTTGGCGCAAGTGTTGACTTTCTTCCATGGCATTTCGTTCCAAGCAACATTGTTGCAAGCATGCCACCTTCTCCAAGGCATACCATGCTACATTGTATTGGGAAATTCTATACATTTCAGCAATGTTATGACTGGTCGTGTAAAGCATAACCACGTCTTCCCTGGCCACTATTTTTCAAAATATTATCTGAAACTCAGTAGCACAGTGCTTGAAGGGCTCATAGTAAAGGACTGAGGGGCCCGTCATGTGATATTCTTTTGTTTTAATCTTGGGAGGGTTGGTGGGTGGGTCATCGTTCGATATTTTTGGGAGGTGGCGTTTTCCCAAGGCAAGGGAGTTAACTGACTTCAAAAGACCAGTTTTCAACCTTTCCGAACTAGGCTGGGATTTCTGGGTTCGATCCTAGCGCCACCAGTGGCTAATACGAGTTATGTCCCTTCTATATTCTCCCTTCACTGACCAGTCTGATTCTATCTTTCATATAACTTGCATTTGCTTAAACAAAATGGTGGCGCCCAGTCAAGACGTCCTCATCGATAATAGAGATCTTTATTGCAATAAAACGGGTTTTAAATCGCGAAGTGTATCAAATAACTTGAGCACGTTGATTAAAAACATGAAACGATTTAGAAAATATGTGTCGACGCCTAAATGATGGAACACATGCCTGCAATTCCTGCAATCGAACGAATTCGGCACGGAAGTTGCCATGTTGTTTATGAAGTGGATGTCTCTATCGTAACGGGATTTTGATTGGACTATACATAGGCTAGTTAGTCCAGCCAAACTATAACTCTATAATTCCCGCCTAGCTCGGCAAGGGTGAAAACTGAACTTTTAAAGTCAGTTAACTCTCTTGCCCTGGAAGATGGGCAGGTGGGGGCAGGTTTGGTTTATACATAAATATGTAACCTTAAGATGCTGGAGAACAGGAAATACTGGTCCTGAGATCCAACAAATGCATACGTCGTACACTGTACATGTTGGATGTTTTCATAAAAAATATGTCGTGGATCTCTAGATATTGCTACCAATACCAATACCAACACCAATACCAGCAACAACTACACTAACACCACCACCAACAACACAAACGCCACCAACGCTAACATCAACAATAACATCAGCACCACTAACAACAACACCAGAATACTAAATAGTCAGTCCCTATACGTGAATTTCGTATCCGCACACAATTTACTGCTTAGAGCTTTCATTTGAATTCAAAAGTTGATAGAACAGACAAACATGAATCTGTGTAGATCTTGTGCTATTCTCAATGTTGTTATGGTTATACATTGACCCTTCATTTCATTGGGAAAACTAATCATATGGAGAGTTATATACAAACACAATCGTAGACTTGGATCGGGTTAATTAATATAGACATGGTAAGTATACATCGTGTAGGGGAGCCATTGGGATTAATCACTTGGAGGCAATAAGCTGATATTGTAACAACTGACTAATTAAGCTAAGTGTCCTAACAATGTAATTAGTCTGAGTAAGGTAACTACGTTACTCCGTTACATCCCATCTGGTAAGAACCCGTCAGTAGCTAATGATATTTGCCAATAACACAGTTGAGTTTACATTTAGTAGATTGATGTCTTTTATCTCTCTTAATGGCTGGCTTTTTTACATTTTCCTGGCATAATGGAGTTTGTTCTTCATACATCGGTTGATATTGGTGTTGATGATTTTGTTTTCTTGCCAAGTGGGGATGCTTTGCTATGTGTTCAAGAGGATTGATCTCAACCAAATCCAGGCCTGTTAACAGAGCTGCAATTTAAAAGGTCAACTACGTTTAGATAGGAATAAGAACATCCGTGTCGCTTCCATGTTGTCAATCGTCCTTTTCCTGAGACTAAAATACGAAGACATCAAGTCTTCGTATTTCTGACACAGGAAAGAGACTATTGACAAAATGGAAGCGACATGTTCACAACGAGCTACAGTCATCAAACCAGGTGTTCAGGAAATGTGAGTAAACATCTAGAACACGATACCGATAGACATTCAGTCAAGGAAATAGTTCTCTCTCAAAAGTATTTTCTGGATTGGGCCATTTTCAAATGATCACCATTCAGAAGGCTAAGTCACAGACGTAGCCTTGAGCCTTAGATAGAAGGTGATCCCCAAGACTAGTGAGAGATCGGAAATGACATTGCCACACTTTAGGTACCCACGACGTCAGCGCAACGTGTGGAGTACTACATTCGCCATCCACAAACGTCTCATGACGTAAGCATTCCAAGAATATGTCGCTTAGAAGTGCAAGGGCTGATATATCTAGACAGTAAAAACTTTCGCCACAACACAGAAAATCCGTTCCAGAGGTCGAATTAGGGTATTAAACATTAAAGATGAATTACAATTAACCCACGTTCTGTGCGTGCCTTCAGTTGGCAAAGAAGGAAGCTCTCAAGCGGGCGAATCATAGACGCATACAAGTATATAGGCTGATGCTGTGTTACAGAGATCAAACCCAATGGTACCTTCGGGAATTTTATGACTGATATTGATTCTTATTTCCAAAAAATTGGTGAATAATGTACAGAAAGTTGATTCGCCTCGGAAAGTGAGCGTCACGCGTTATTGCACGAACTGCTGCATTACCATATATTTGATTCACTGTCCACGAAGGAGAGCGTTTTACATATCAGCCTTGTCTGATGTTTTAGTATTGTGCAAGTAATGAGATTCCTAACCTGTAATTATGAATTAATAAACATTTGTTTATCAAACTGTTAGGAATCCAGCCGCTGACATGGGAGGAGGTAATGTGCTAGTTTAAATACAATATCCTCCATTTAAAAAAAATCAATGCTTATTAGATCACTAGGGTCCACTTTCACAAACAGATCTTACTGCTAAGTCTGTTCTTAACGTGTGGTAAAGTCGGAACGTTGATCTCATTTCCGGATCTTAGCACTGTACCTTTTGTAAATGAGTGTTTATGTACGCGAGTTATGCCCGTATTCATTACTGCCAATCTTAGTAAATATCGGTTTTAAGTGTGTTTAAATATAAGACTATATGCTTGTTGTCTCTACAACAGATCTTAACACTAAGATTTTTTTCAAAAGTATTCTAAACTACCAGAGTTACTCTTGTAGTATTACCAGCCACATTTGTCCCATGCCTGCTCAAAGTGTTTGTTAATGTTCAAGTAAACTAGTCTTAGCGCTCAGAACGCTTTGTGCAAGTGGGCCCGGATTAGAAGCCACAAGCTTAGGCACGCCATGGCGCAATATCGACCTCTTCGGGCAGCTTGATTAGTTTGGCTAACTTTTATTAATGTAGTTGATATTCCTTGAGGTGAGAAGTGTCAGATGCTTGGTTTGGAAATCACTTTTGCCGCTGGCTAGTCACGCCCAATATGAAATATTTCTGGTAGAAACTGACCGCTGGTCTCATATCAAATATAAGAAAACATCTATCAAATAAATGAAACACCCATACCGTGCACACTGCAATTTGTGTAACCCATCAGACCAGGTGAGACGCTCTTGGAAATTGAATGCGAGCGTCCATCTAATGCCGATTTGTCACTCCGGACAACCTTGGAAAATAATGGTGTGCGTGGGTTGTGTTTATTACCGCCATGAATATTATTTCAGTTTCTGGACGACGTGTCTCCTTGATGTGACGAGAAGGCTGAAATGATGCAGGTCAGAGGCCTTAACTACTCTAGTGATATATATGAGTTGGGTGCTGACAGATCAAGAGTAATAATTAAGGCTAACCG